GAACACTGAAGTAACCTACTGTTTTCCAATATTCTGTTCTGCGAGGTATCATTGCATTGTTGGATATTTGCAAACAGCATTCAAGTGGCGCGCAGTGATAAACAAATTGTGTAGGAAAAGTTGAATTTTATTGTTCCGGTAAAAGTGATCTCAAGTAGCTCGACATATAACTAAGCATTCTTATCTGATTTTCATTTCTGGCCATCTCCTTGCTGCAATTTGATCTGATCTGTTCTAGCCTCTTGCGGATATTGTAGAGAACCGAAACACGTGATCTAATATTTTGCCTAAGATCAGAGGAGCTCACTGCTTATGTAAGTTCCCAGTTCTGCCATCCCTTTAATTACCAGAAATCCTTGCACAAACAAGTTCCATCCTTAAAGTGATGATAGCGTACGCGATCTCTCACAATTATCTCCCGGTTATATACTCGTGAAATGAGCTTAGTGGCAGAGTGGCAGTCCTCACATACCCTTAGATTCTTAGCAATGCGGATGGTTGTTCCTGGCACTGTGTTGAGAAGCCCAAAGGCAATGGCAAGCTTTTCACTATGGTGCACAAGGGCAGTTTCCTTTTCCTCCTCATCTATGTCAAACAGAACTTGAGAGGTATTGGTGAATAACCCTCCATTTGCAGCCTCTCAATGACCCTTTTCAACATCAAGTAGATTTCTTTTGCTTGTGGGTGCGAGCCATCGCCTATTTTGAATTCATGGATGGTTCCATCCAATTCAATCATGCTGCCTCCTGCAGTCGTTTTAATCCCTCTTTCCTTCATCGATTTCCTCAAACTCGCATCATCATCCCATCTCCTCGCCTTGGCATAGATGTTTGATAACAATGCGTAACGCCCACTATTTTGTGGCTCCAATTTGAGCAAGATCTACCCCACTTTCTCACCCAAAACTACATTTCCATGTTTCCTACAAGCACCTAAAAGTGCTCCCCATACTGCAGGATTGGGTTGCATTGGCATGGAACTAATCAGTTCCTCTGCTTCAGTTAGAAGCCCTGCCCTGCCTAGGAGGTCCACCACACAGCCATAGTGCTCAGCAGTAGGCTCAACCCCATACACTAGCTCCATAGAATTCAAATACTTTAGACCCTTATCAACCAAACCAGCATGAGCACAGGCATTTAGGATTCCCACGAAAGTGATATCATTGGGCTTTATCTTCTCCCTCTGCATCTTCAAGAAAAGCTCAAGTGCATCCTCTGCGCAGCCGTGCATAGCAAGTCCCCCTATCATGGCATTCCAAGAGTACACTTCTTTCTGTTTCATCTTCTCGAAAACTCCCCATGCCAAGTCCAAACGCCCGCATTTGGCATACATATCAACCAAGGAAGTCCCTAACACTGCATCAATTGGAATGGAATTCCTTTCTATATAAGTATGTATCCATCTACCTTGATCAAGAGCCCCCACATTAGCACACGCGGCTAGCAAACTCAAAAGAATAAATTTTCTTGGCCTAACTTTCTCTCTTTGCATTTCATGGAATATTTCCAATGCCTCCTTGAAATACCCTCCTTTGTTACAACCATCAACAATTGCACTCCAAGATATATCATCCTTCTCGGGCATTTTATCGAAAACCTTTCTTGCCTCCTCAAGCATCCCACGTCTAGCAAAACCAGTGATCATTACATTCCAAGTGCCAACATTCTTCTCCGTCATACCCTCAAACAACTCTTTAGCAGCTTCAATATCTCCACATTTCATGTACCCATCAATCATAGCATTCCAACACACAACATCAGAAGATTCCTCACCCTCATCATCGAGCATACTCCGCGCCTCCGTGAGGCGCCCAAACGACGCATACATCTGAATTCCTGCACTTTTAATGTGCCCGTCTCCTCCAAGTCCATGTTTCACCACATGAGCATGGATTTGCACTGCTTCTTCAACAGCACGTGCCGCGGTGCAAGCCTTGAACAGTGTAGGGTATGTGTACTTGTTAGGCCTAGAATTCACAACCACCATCTCATGATAAAAAGAGATGGCCTTACACGGCTCATTGTTTTCTAGACATCCTTTGATCACAGAATTGAATACAAAAACATTTGGCTTCAGCACTTGGTCAAAGACCTTAATGGAATAGTCCAATGTGCCAGAATGAGGATTTGCATAGCACTTCACTAAGGACCCTGCAATGAAATGGTCTTGGAAGTGTCCAGCCCTCAGAATCAAAGCATGGGTTTGCTTGAGATGTTGAAGTGAAATACTGCATTTGGTGTTCACAAGATTCAAGATTATTTTCTGGGAGAGCTTGGAGGTTGATGAGTACTCTATTGAGTAGTCTTTTGGTGTGAGATGATAAGGTAGGTCTGTGGTGGTGGTTGTGCTCATTTTTCTGTGTCATTCAGTTTTTGGCTTAGACAATATATATATATATATATATATATATATATATATATATATTAGGTCAGGCGGGACACCACGTAAAATTTCAAGATAGTAGATAAATTTTAAAAACACGTATACACGAATCATGTTATGGTTGATCACTCTTGAGATCCATGGTAACAATAGTGTGCTTTGAATTTTATGTGAAGAAATGTTATGGGTTTCGGTAATGGATACAAATACCAAGAATCTACATCCAAGGCATGATAAGCATTAATGTCATTCATTACACTGGAGGTAAAATTCTGTACTCCTTGGTCCAAGGATTTAACAAGGCAATGGCGTCCTTGTTGAAATTATAACCCAAAGGATGCAGTTGCAAACAGATCAAACCATTGCACGAACCATGTATAAAAGTCCAATGACGCTCATATTTAATGGGGTTATCGACCTCTACAAGGTCTAAAGGTGGGACAATACCACCATTCATCAAGTATATCTGCTAAGAGTTTAATATGAATAAATCTCTATTTGTGCCAAGTAGTGATGCAAGTCTGTTACAGATATGCGGAACCATTTTCATATTTTGTGTTCAGTTTGTTATTTTACACCTCTATTTAATTAGGCGAATGCAACATTCTTATCTTCTCAGTTCTACAATATCTACGTCTACTGAATATATTCTATTACCTGCTCCAAAAATCAAACACAAATTCATTACACTTTCAAGTGATCGGTCGAGTTGCAATTTGACGAAGATAGGTGGGTCAATTAGGGCACACCATTGCTTCGAAACGCACCTCAAAAGCAGCAGATCTTTCACCGGTAGTTGGGTGAGAATGTTTTCGAACAGATTCTCCGAAAGCTCCGACATCGGAAACGCCACCAATTGCTTGTCTCTCTTCCCCTTTCCCATCGCTGCTATTAAAACAACACTAATACTCACAATCCAACTTTAGAGATTCAACGCCCGCTTTTCACACCAATTTATCAAAAGTTATATTATTTTTCAAAATTTCCATGGTCATTTTTAAATTGAGATGTGAATAATTACTTTGCCTGAACATGAGTGGGAATTAAAACAAAAAAAAAAAATTTGAAAACATATTGTAATAATTTTAAAAATGATCAAGAAAATTTTGAAAAATAATGTAACTTTTGAAAAATTGGTCACACTCAACAAGGGTTTTGAGAAAAATAAAATGTTGAATTCTCGTTCTAATAGAACAAATAAAAATAATAAAAAATGAAAAATTAAAATATGAACATTAAATATAGGAACATATTCACAACCGTTACTATACCATCTTAATAAAATTAATATTCTATATATATATACACACATACTTTAGAGAGAAAAGTCCAATATGACATCTGTAATTCCTCAAGTTTAACATTAAAGTAAGATGTCAATCTAGCTACTGAAAAAGATTTGACATTCACATTCATATTGGCACATAAAAATGACAGCACACCTACTATATTCATTTCATCTTTTATGTTGGAGGCCATTGGCTCTTTACATATGTTTTTTATTTACGAAGATAATTAATTATTCACACTAATTTATGACCACACAAGCCAAATGCTATCTCATATTTTTATGGAATTAGATTCTCACTAAATTTGATGTAACATAATAATAATAATAATAATCATAAGTCATATACTTTAAAGAGGGTATGAAGTAGTTTGGTGCATTCACATCATAATTGTTTAATTGCAAGTCAAGCTTCGTGGAGATCAACACATACCGTGGAGCAAAAGCTAATAGTATTTCATAAATATTCTTAAAAATATATATATAAAGCTCAATTCAATTTTATAACATTAAAGCAAGATGTAAATCAAAGTACTACTAAAATCTTGTGATAAGATTGGAATGTTATAAAAATAACATTATTTTTATTTTATTTTATTTTAATTCACATATTTATAAGAACTGTGAGATCCTAAGAAGTAGGAACACAAGATGATATCGTGGAAGAGATGTTCAACACAGCTAAAAGATCACTTCGCACGTAACACAGCTAAAAGATCACTTCGCACGATGCCAATTCATTCATTCATAATGATTGAGCTTAACAACTCTTCCCCTTAACATTGGCAAGAAATGAACAAATGCCGAGTTCTTGGATCCATTTCACTTCCTGGTCATTTAATTCGTACCAAAATAAATCACCAAACACTCGCAACAGCATAATTTTCTGTGCTGCTCTTAGAATAAGCCAAAACCCTTGCACACTTCCGGCTAAACCCCTCACCGTATTTGCCACTCGGCACCGTTACCTTGAAGAGTTTTGTCCATGACTCCTTTACCATATAATTACTCATGACCCATAATTCAAGAGCATCTTCTTCATCCAAAGAGTAAAGCAAGCACAAACATCCACCTAAAACCCCCAATGTCCCGCAACTACCACTAGGAACTTTTGGCGCGGTTGGCACCTCCACTGTCCGGTGTTCCTCATCCACGGGATCAAAAGCAACAACAATGTCAACCAAATCGACCTGAACTCGACAAGCCAACCAATGCAAAGCACCATTCACTTGCACCCCAAGATTTCTCAAACATTTCTCAGACAAGTAAAGGTAATAAACGAAACTCTCACAAATCCGCCTCCACATATTCGATCTTAAACCACAAACCATCACTTGAAGAGGGTTTTAGATTCATCAACGAACTGCACAATTCTAACCACCTTATAATCATCACCCACAGGATCATACACTATTCCATGATATTTCTTGACACCCCTCTTGTGAGGTGGCACTGGAGGTAAAATCCTGTACTCCTTGGTCCAAGGATTGAACAAGGCAATGGCGTCCCCGTAGAAATTAGGACCCAAAGGATGCCATTGCAAACAGATCAAACCATTGCACGAACCTTGTATAAAAGTCGAATGGCAATCATATTTAATGGGGTTATCGACCTCTTCAACGTCTAAAGGTGGTACAACATCAAGTATACCTACGTCTACTGAAATTATTCTATTACCTAATACAAAAATCAAACACAAATTCTTTACAGTTTCAAGTGATCGGTTGAGTTGCAATTTGATGAAGATAGGTGAGTCAATTAGGGCACACCATTGCTTCGAAACGCACCTCGAACGCAGCAGATCTTTCACCTGTAGTCGGGTGAGAATGTCTTCGAACAGATTCTCCGGAAGCTCCGACATCGGAAACGCCACCAATTGCTTCTCTCTATTCCCCTTTCCCATCGTTGCTAGTAGTATTAAACAACACTAATACTCACAATCCAACAACTTCAGAGATTCAACGGCCGCTATTCACACAAATTTGTGTGAGAGGGAAGTGATGAAATCTGATATTCTACTAAGCAGAGAGAGATGAGATGTGATGAAACTTGGTCCAATTGGATACGCAGGAGATTGGATAGAAAAAAATTATGAGGAGTGTTAATTCCAATAGCGCTTGCTTTTTGTTGGTCACAATTTTTATAATTATATATTTATTTATGAGATATCCCCCGCACAAAATTGCCCTTTGACCTTTTCTTATCTTTTTTTCTTTTATTTCCCCCGCCCCCCTCAGTTTTATGTAGTATATATATACAAACAGTCACATGCACATATATTCGTAGTGTATATATACATAACATTATGATAATTGATTATTTTATTTTATTTTTAAAAAAATTATATTTTAACGTGCTCTAAAATGACATAAAAAAAAATTTATACGTATATATATAGTGATATATATATATTATATATATATAAAATGACATGAAAGTAGTTGTTTACACACACATATTATATATATATATATATATATACTGATTAAGTGAGGAGAGAAAATTAGAAATAAAAAACTTATATGTATATGACGTTAATGTGTAGTGATCTCTTGCTCCTCATGGAGTAAGAAAATTCTTTCGCACCTTTTATAGTGACCATTAGATTACATTCTAAACTCAGTTTTCCTTTCAATACAAAACCATTATCACTATTTCAAGTTTTTAAATTTAATATTTATCAATACCATTAATTATAACAATAAAAGGTAAGTAGTAAAAAAATAAAAATAGAAATCAAGTATTAGAAAATTGCATCCATGACTTGATACTAAAGTTGACATTGCGTATTTGTTTGAGTATGAAAAAGAAATTAAAAATTACACTATTGACATACAAAACATCAACTACAAAATAAATAAAAAAATTAAAAATTAAATCTATATTTTTTTATCCACTTGATTAACTTATGGTAACCTGTGATTTGCACAACACTTCACAATTTAAATTATTTAAAAATTAGAAATTCAATCTATTGTTCTCTAACCACTTTGTCTCAAAATGTTTTCATCTTTCTTGTTAATTTTGTTTTATTTTATTTCAGATTTTAACTAGTTATAAACACATTCCAATTAATCATATGTCATAATAAGTCCTACAAAATCTTTTTTCTAGTTCTACTATAACAACAAAAATTTATTGACATAATGAGGAGATTCACGACAAAAAATTATATTATTCTATGAAATTTCCATTATAAATTAGTTGTTTTTCTTAGTTTTTTCTTTAATACTGCTATTATTATCATCATTTTTTTTTCACTATCATCATTTTTTTTTTTGGTAAGCCAAAAAAGTATGAAAGACTAAGACATTCCAAAGGTGAAGCGATTTATATTTTTATTTGTTTGGTACTAACCTTTTATAGTTGTAATTAGTGGTATTGGTAAATTTTAAATTTAGAAACTAGAAATAATGATAGTAGTTTTTTATTAAACGAAAAGTATATAGGTAGGTTTGGAATTTGACTATTAGATTTAATCTAATGGTTACTATAAAAAGTGCGGAAGAATTTTCTTGCTACATGGGGAGCAAGAGATGTGAAGTTAATTATTTACATATATATATATATATACATGTCCGTCAATTAAGTGAGGAGAGAAAAAAATACTATATGAATTGTGATTATAGGAATTAAACGTGAATCCTTTGTATAGCACACACACATATATATATAGTTAAAATATAATTAAAAAAAGGAAATAAAATAATCCATTTCTATAATATTATTTGTTTTGGCAATCCAAAAAGAAAGAAAATAATATATTCGTTTCGTTTTTTTTTTTTTTTTTTGGACAATTTAGAATGTTATATAAGGGAATAAAACTGAGGAGAAAGAAATAAAAGGAGAGAGATAATAAAAAGTTAAAGGGTAATTTTGTCTTAAAAATTTATATTTTTAATTTTCCTAAAGGTAGGGGCATCTCATAAATGAACGTATAATTATAAGAATTATGACCAATAAGAAGAGCGAAGCGCGACTGTAGAAGGACAGGGATTTAATAATCGTTCGTTGTCATACCTTATTGACTGGTAGGATCTCATTCTCATAGCCGCTCTCCCTCAGTTCATTTGCGAGATCAGAGGAGATCCGTTTGTTGCCAGATTTCCCGGGGATATGATTTAACCCTTTGACTTTCTCAAATTGTGCCAAAGTTATCTTATCATGTTGAACCACATCATCTTATCTTTTCCTTGATAATAAAATATTAACATTCTTATTCAATGAAAATATTCGCAAGTTGAAGAGATCTGGTGGCTGGTCAACACTTAGTTGTTGTTAGGTCAAGGTAAGTTAGGTTTATTTTTCCCTATCAGATGTTATATTGTTTAAGTTATTTATTATTATTATTTTTAATAGATAATATATTGTTAAAAGTTTTTTAATAATTTGTAAAATGATTGTTTGATTGAAAAATATTGCTATTAAAAAACCATTACATAATTAAATTCTAGTACATAAAATATAACCGTTACAAATATAACCGTCATGTATATAACGGTTACAAATATAGTCATTTTTTTTTTTTCTTAAAAGCAAAAATTCGGAGAACCTGATCGAGTGCGTGTTTCTAGAGTTAGAATTGCTGATTTGGCTTTTGGAAAAGCTGAAATAACATTTTTGGAGAGCCAAATTCCTGAGAGGCTAGTGTGAATGCTCTAAGGAGGTCTCCAATTAAGATGTAAATAAAAATAAATAAGTAAAATTTAAAAATAGAGAGTTTTACATCTGAAACCTTAGGGTTAAGTGCAAAAAACCACCCTAATATATAGGGTTTGTGCAAAAATATTCTCTCCTTTTTGAAAATGTGCATTTCAGTCCATAAATTTCAAAAAATGTGCAAATAAGCCCCTCTTACCACTTTTTGTTCAAAATTGACATAAAATAAATTCAAAAACCCTATTTGCCCTTGGGTTAAGTTTAAAAAAAACCCCTCTACTATCGATATAGTGCAAAACAGTCCCTGTATGGTATAAAACCCCCATATACTATCAATTTAGTGCAATTACCCGTGTTCGCATAAAAATCATTAATACCCTCTCTAATATAAATGAAATAATATTTAAAAAATTAGGCAATGTAAAAAATTCATGCTAAACAAATATAAAATATAACCACTATTAATTTTCATCTAACCAGATCGAGCCTAAAAATTTTAAAAATTCTGATTAATTTAAAACCATTAACTTTTATTTATGATTTTTTTTCCACATAAATTTTACACTAATAGTTACAAAATTCAATATTATCCAATTAAGATCATTAAACTTAAAAAAATATATTTAAGATATTCAATAAGTAATGACAAAACTGTAATGTTTCCAATTTTTTGCCTTTTTCCATTTTCTGAAATTTTTCGTTCTGCAAGGGCATTTTCGTCTTTTTCTCGTTTTGCATGCCAGACATCGTGGGGTGTGTCCGAGGGTTAGTTGGGGCATTTCCTTGAGTTTAGGACTCTTGGAAATGCACCGGTTGTCATTTCGGCATTTTTTTATTTTTCGGGCCGAACTATTCCGTGTGGGACCCGCCACCAGAATTGTCGCGCACGGGGGTGTTGGTTGGTTCCATTTGCATTTTTTTATTTATTTTATTTAATGTGTTATATGTGGTTAATGTAGAATGGTGGGTATGTATATATGTATGGGGTGGACAAAGAAAAACAAAAGTTAAAAATGAAATTTTAGGGGTGGGACCTACTTTCCACTAAATTGTATTCGTGACCAAAGGCCACATTTGGCCTCTCATTTTTCTCTCTCCCCATAAAAAGCTCAATTTCCCTCATTTTCATCTCTTTTTCCTATCATTTTGCTTCAAGCTTTAGACTTTGAATTCTCTTCCAATTTTGAGAAATTTTTGGTGCCGTTTGTAACAAATCAAAGAGCTCGGTGAGATCTTCAAGTTGGTATAAGCAATTTCAACTTTGGTGCATCCTAAGATTTTCGAAATCTAGGGTTCAAATTGAGGGTTTTCATCATTTTTGAGGTAGGGGTCTCTAATCCACCAGTTCTTATGCTTTTGTGAGTTGAAATCTCTTTTATTTGTGTCAAGCATGCTTATTTTGTGTTGATTATCTTTAAAATGATGTAAATGATGTATATGGAATGTGCAAATATGTGATAGTTGATGTGTTGTGAATAAGCATGCTTACATCGGATTAAATTCTTGTTCTATGTGCTTACCATGTTGAATCAATGATGATTGAAAACATGAGTTGTATATTTTAGCAATTTATCTTGAGTAGCATGTATGAGAATATTATGGTTACATTGATGATTATAAGAATGAAGCACTCATGCATTCATTGGGAAAGAAAAGGGGGGAAAGTGTTTTAAAATAAGTGAAATTATTTTTGAAAAAAGTTTTCTAAAAGTGTTTGCGAAAATCGGACGCCTAGGAGGCGCCTAGTGGTCCGTAATGTTAGTGTAGTCTAGAAGGGAGTGTGGTTGAGCTAACTAGGTTGGATGCGACGCTTTGGAGGTGCCTTGTGATCGTGGATGGTTAGCCAACCCTCCATTCGTGAAGCCTTGGAGGTGCCTTGGTCAGATTACACTAACGGTTTGGAAGTTGAAAAAAAATGTTTGGGAAAAAGGGGAGTGACATTAGCATGATATTGCACTTCATTAGCATATATGATGTGTATGTTTTTGGATAACATTGTTATATTTTTGCCGTTGTGGTTGTTGATATGTACTCCCTACGGTATGACCCCGTCCCTTTTTACCTATTCCTTACGTTGATTCACGGGGTCATGAGAAGTGTGTTTTAGACACTTCTTACTGACCTTTTAGCTCACCCCATTATTTAACATTTTTCAGGTTATAGAAAAAAAGTAACGGACAACTCTCCACCACAACCTTAGCTTGGATCAGAAGCCCACTTAACTACTTTTTATAAATAGATCCC